AAAACTGCCACTTAGTGTGCCATTTCAGAGTGGGCTTACGAAGTTGGTAACATACGTAGCTAAAGTGAAAATAATAGCAGTATAGAATTCATAAATGTTCAAAATTAGAATACAGGCAATAATGAGTTTGGAAAGATGCCACTTAGCATACTGCATACACCCTTCAGTGGGAACAAGGGCTCTAAATATCGCTGAAAATTCCTTAGAATAATGATGTCTAGGAAACGGTATCTCTTTCAATATGTTAAAGAAGCAGGAAAACCAGCTGATTTAGGCTGAATAAATGGGAAGCATCTTACTTCTTTTAGCATTATTGCAAATGCATTTGATGTTATTTTAAACCCTTTTTTTTTTTTAAGAGTTTTTTTATTAATTAAAAACACTGGAAGCATGTCACCCCAAGGGAGCTTGTTTCATGACTGGTATCTCAGGCCATATTTTGGTGGAAAATAACAAATGAAGCATCACTGGGAAATTACTTGAAGAACAACCTCCTTAGAATTAGATACTAGCTTTGAAAATGGATAGATTTCCTGAGATCTTTTAAGATTGTGAATGATGACAGTTTAGTAGCTTTTGGGGGCTGGACTAGATGATCTCCAGAGGTCTCTTCCAACCCTAACAATTCTGTACTTCTATACCAGGTTAGAAAGGGTTTTCAGAGTATAAGGAGGCAGCATAAATAAAAACGCCAAGGTGATTGCATTGCAGATGACAACAGAACACGTAGGTTCTTTTTGTTGTTAGGTTAGTGGCAGTGATGTGCAAAATCAAAGTAGGTCAGCAATGGGAAACAGGAAGAAGTTCAGTTAATAGAACACTTGAGGAGACAATACTGGCAGGGCCCTGGAGTTGTCACATTGGTCTTTTCACGTCTGGTTTTGAGGTTTCAAGAGCAGCATGGGTAGCTGCGGTCCCAGAGTTGTACTTATAACATTTCATCATAAATAAACCCAAGAGTATCCTAGCTTAAGGAGGTAGGTTGGAACTCATTAGTGTCATGTGTTCACACAAGCAGTTAAAGAAATCTTGTTGAAACAGTGTATGTGTTAATATCCAAGTGTTAATAGCCAAGCACTTGACTGAATCATGGTGATTTCAAAAAATACTGCTGTGGCATTCTTACTTATTTTCTGCTAAATGTCAAACCTAGTTCTCTATTTGCTACGTAGGTGACTTCCTGTAGTTTAATGCGAATGGAAAATAATTTGAAATGCTGAGATAAAAATGCTGTATTTTATTCCATTTGCATTTGTTCATTTGCTTGAACAAATTTGCTGTTCACCTTGCATGAGTAGCAAATCTTGTCTTCATGCCTCTGTTTCCTGTCTTTTGATGGGCAGATGTTGTGGGAGAGTGGAATATAAAGGAAATAGGGAGACGCAGAGGGGAGAGATGTTGATGGTTTGTGCTGATTTGGCCTTGTTTTTACTTTTAGGCAGAGACAGGAGAAATGAGTAGAAATGCTGAACTGAAAAAGCTGCAGATCTTTGGAGCTGGACCTAAGATGATGGGACTGGCACTGGGAGCAAAGGATAAAGAGGGTAATTAAGTTTTGGGCTCATCCCTTTGTAAAGTCATGAAGCTGTTAAACCTTTCTGAATGTCTCTATAGACAATGTTAAGAAGTAAGCAAATAATTAGAAAAAGAAATCTAAGTATTGTAGGGTTTCATTCATGAGAGATTTACAGGGTGCTTCCTGTAACTTGGCATAGTTTCAGCTCTTTATGTATTGCATAGTAACAATAACAATTAAGCAGCTGTTGCATGAACTGAATGACTGGAAGGGAAAACAGGATTTGACAGTATTGAATCTGATCCTGCCAACAAAGTGCACAAATTGAGTGTAATTCACTTTGTTTTGTGATGCATTTGGGATGATCTGTGAGGATAAGCAAAATGTGTTTTCCTAATCCTTGTTGATTTTAGATTGGCCAGGTACAACAAGGCAGTATTGCTTTCTTTGGACTGTCAGGTAGTTTCTGATATGAAAGGCATGGTACTAGGCTGGGTGTGTGTGTTGGTTTTGCAAGTGTATCCTGATGTGATACTAATACAATTTAACTTTATTTTGCTTTAAGATGAGGTGACACGGAGACGCAAAGGAACCAGATCAGAAGCATTTGGAATGCAGATGAGGCAACGCAAAGGAACTCTTTCTGTCAGCTTTGTGAGTTTGATTCCTTTGTTGTGATTTCTGAAGAGAAATTGATTTACTAGGATTTATTTCTAATTCTAATACACCCCCCACCCCCAGATAGATAAATCTGTTGACAGTAGAGCAGATCATACTGTTACGGGAAGAACCGATAGTATAATCTATGCTCTGGGTTTCTGTTTTAATCTTTTGGACAGGAAGGATGTTGCAACATGAAGGTGCTTGTTGATCATGGGTTTGAGGGCTTGCTTTGTCACACACTTCTTGCATGCCTTCGTTAGCTTACTTTCTATAAGCTCCCCTTTATAGAACGATTATAATACTGCTTATCTTCCTTGAAAGATATTTTGAGGTGCTCCAGTACTTCAGGAATTTGGATTTCAGCAATTCCAGCTTTCATGTCTTTTTTGGTTTGTTTTTGAACTAGTCATCCATGCAAAAGAAGCCCCTAAGGGGAAAAAATTAAATGTCTCTGATGGCTGACCATGGAAAAGTATAGTTGTCCTTAATGTATTTCATTAACACGTGACTTTCTGTTTTTCAAGTCATGTGTATGCAACCATGAATGAAGATGCAGGCTTTTAATGTCTTGAAAATTAGGCTCTTCACTAATAATTCAGCTCTTTTTTTCTTAGCCTGAGAACACTTACAACAGTTTTATTTTAAATTTCAATCATAGAATAGAAAATCAAGACAACCAAAAGTCTCTAGGAATCATATTTTCATATGTGGAAATACTTCCTGAGGGAAAAACATAAGGGAGAACTTGTATGTTTAAAAAACCAGATCATTGTGCTGTTGCAGCTAAGTTAGAGTGTGTGACAGGAATTTTAATTGTGCTACTACTCCTGAGTATATAGTGTTCCTAAGCTGTGTGTTGTGACCATTTTGTTAAGTATGCTTTAAAGTATTTTGTCTTGTCTCTGTTTCTTGTAGAAAACTCTATTTGTTTATTGTTGTCAGTTACTCCTGTTTATAAGAGAAAAGGAAAATCCTGTGGCAACAGAACTGCTGGTCTGGAACTGTATTGCTGTAGCTGTAATTTTATGAAATTATTTGACTTAGTACTCTTTGGTTCCACATATTTTTTATACTTGGATGAGAGACCTTCAAGGAAAGCAGTCTTTGAAGTGCACATGTGATATGTTAACCCTACATAACTTCTAAAAAACACTGTGGTACAGTTTTGTTTACACTTCTCCCACATTCATTTATTTTTTTGTGAAATGTAGACTGTGAAATAACATATACCTTTTTCTTTTTATCCCCTCCCCACTTGATACATATAGTTATATATCATCATAGAATTGCTCTGTTTTGTGACGTGGCTGGGGGGCTTACTTGTGGTTATTGTGTGATCACCGATCTGCTTTTTGTGATTATATTTCGATGCAGTCTTTGTAATAGACAAATCATCACTTAGTCTAATGTAAAAATTGCGTATGTTAATATGAATTTGGAGAGGAAATGTATTATCAGTGGTAGGTAACTAATGAGTATCATAGAATAGGCTCCTCTTACAATTGCCATTTTTAATGCATTTTTAATTTTGGGGAGAGAACCTGGAAAATGTATGTTAAGATAATCTTTCTCCATTCTGTATACTTGCAACAAAAGCAACTTGGTTGGTGTTTTAGACATTATACGCCATGAAGATGAGTGTGTGATTTTTTAATTATTTTTTAAAGGGGAAAGTGATATGTCTCTTAATAAAACTGCATTATTTCTTAAAATTATATCTTGGGAAACTTGAGCAATGTTATTCAGAAGTATATTATTGCATAGCTAGGAAGTTGCATTCTTAACTAGGTTGTGTAACTAATGTGGCGTTTGACATCAAGTATTTAACACTACTGTGTTAACCTAATCAGATTAAAAGCATATGGTTTTATGACATTTTGATGAAAAAAACAAACCCGAAAGCAACTCCACTGCTTCTGGTGTTATTTTGAGCTACGTGAAGGAAATAAGCATAGCCTGAGTTGCCCACTATTCCCTGATGGAATAGTAGCAGAACTCGGAGCAAGTGTTATTAATGAAATTCATGTTGTTAGTAAAAATTTATACAGAAGATAATTTTTTAGCTGTGATACAGTAATACAAGGTTTATTCATTTAGACTGTTACAGATCTTCAGTATTATGTTTAATTAAAAGTCCTTTGAACAATACAGGAAGCAATAGCAAAATCTGAAACTTGTTGGTACGGTTTTCCCTTTGGTCCTTGAGACTATTTCCCAGTCAGTGTTATTGACAGATTATTGGACAGACACTTGCAAAAATTGCTTGCTATTGTATTGGGATTAATTTTTCTTTCTTATCACTTGGAGTTTTTAGCCTTCATTTTAGAGAAAATAAGAAAGAATTTGATACCTTTATGTGCAGGTTTCCTTCCTTTCCCCTTGGATTTGTAGACTGAACTCTGTGGGTTTTTTTTCTCTATTCTTTTCCATTGCAAAGGTAATCACTGTACATCACTAGAAGTGATGACATGTATGTTTCTTAAATATGTTTTGGAGATTATCCTCAGCCATGTGCTCTTTGTAAGGATGTAGTTTTCTATGACATGGGCCCAATGGGAGGGAGTTCTAAAAACTGTAACCTACTATTTTTTGAATAACATAAATGACATGCTACTTTGAGTAATATAGAAAACAATTATCCAATTGAACTGGATAGTTATTTTGCAGCACCCAAAGTCCCCTTGTCCCCATGTATTGCTGCTTTGTGAAACTGAAGCATAATTGTTAATTTTCAGTGATTCTCAGAAAACAGAGGAGACCGCATTGATGTTGATGTGTTGAACTTTAGGATTACATTTTTTGTTCCTTAGTGTAAGGAAGGCAGGTTCTGGATGAGGAAAGTTTTTGTAACTTTTTTTTTCTTTTCTGTTTTTTCTTTTTTCTCCACAGGTTGATCTGTATGTTTGCTTATTCTGTGGCAGAGGAAATAATGAGGACAAACTGCTACTGTGTGATGGATGTGATGACAGCTATCACACTTTTTGCTTGATTCCTCCTCTACCTGATGTACCCAAGGGTGACTGGCGGTGTCCAAAGTGTGTTGCTGAGGTACAGTTCAAGAACTGTTCAAGCTTTGTGTGTATACTTGTATTCCTGGAAAGATCAGAAGAGCAATTCAGCTCAGTGCCATTCCATCTGGGTAGAAGCCATAGTTTTGTTTGGCATATTGTCAAGATGAGCTGTGCATCTCCAGATGTTCTTAGTTGGTGAGCCATAAGGAGAGAGAAATTTTTCTTCTGGAGATTGAATGTAACCTTTGTTTATTGTACGGCTGTGTGACAGCTAAACCTTTGGCCTTAGTGTGCTAAGAGCTGAAACTCAATTTGATAAGCCGGTAGTGGGAAATCAGGATGAGAAGTAAGGTGGTGATAGGTGTCTCAGCATAGCAATGAGACATTTTGAAAACTATGAAAGTATGCAATTTGATCATAGCAGACATATAATTATTGGCAAGTCATTATGGTGGTGTTCAGAATAGTGGGTAGTAGAAAGTGAAGGAACTAATTTAAAAATTGTAGCTATTTTAGTTTTGGTTTAGACAAAAAAAGGAACTGAGGCTCCAAAAGTGAGAACTAGTTGAATTGTTTAAAGAGAGGAGCTACCAACTTCCAAGAAACGACTGATCAAAAGCCTGAAGGCATCAGACGTCATTTGATAGCCTTAATTTTGCAAGCTCAGGAAATGGGTAGATGTATAATTCAAAGAAAAAGGCTTACTGTTTCTAAAGCTGTAATTTTGTGACTAGTTTAAACTTTTTAGATGGTGTTTTTACAAAAGGAACAGTTGCACACGTGTATATGCCCATTTTCCCCCACCTCCTCCACACTCTTTCCAGCTGTTGGTTTCTGCTGTTTTCTTTATGGTGGTGTATGAATAGCTGTGCAGCCACATAATGAGGTGCATCAGCTTGCTGCTTTCAGACTTCACCAAGAGAGGCTAGGGTGTCACATGAACTCAGGCAAATGCTGTTGTGAGAGAGGTGGAAATACATAGTCACAGCCAAGGGAAAAGATGCAACTAACCCTTTTCGGCTGCTGCTCAGAGAGTGGATTAAGCTGCTTTTTTATTGCTCCCTTAAGAGAGCACAATGAAGGAGTATTAGCAAACTACAGCAATCCAGTGTGGAGATAATTTAAAGAATATAGTAGTAAATATAGTGACTGCAGTGGTTTAAGAATGTGGGAACTTGCAAGAAATTTCTCTACTACTATTGCTAATAAAACCAGGGCTGCATTGTTCCCAAGAAAAAATACGCACATAGGAATAAAAGCTGGAAAGTTATTGCCAAATAAATTATTACTAGAAAATGATACAAGAAGTACTAGAAAAACTTCGTAAATGCATTGAAAGCAGAAGGAAGAAGGGAAACAACATAATTAAATTATGTAATGGAGAGTAAACAACAGCAGAAAGATGTTTGAAATTCAGTAGCACTTTTTGCATCAGTTTTTGCTTTAAATGTTAATTGTACACAGATGCTAAATGTAATGTTAATGGCAGGGTGCTGGAGCAGAAGCTAGGAAGAATAGGGTAAGGGATCTTTATTCAGGTCAACATTGTTAAACAGTGCTTACAGGTGTAGATTCCCTGTTGCAGCCACCATTAAAGAACTGCTTTGATAAATGTTGGGCATAGTCTAGGGATATTTTCTCTTGAAGAAAGAGGAACTACTGATCTCCTGAATTCCTTTCCAGTCCTTTCAGTTTGTTTATGACTGAACAGCTGGCTATCAATTCTATTTCATGTTTGTGTTCAAATATATTTTGTATATAAACATTGTGTCAGATACAGAGAGGCTGAAAAGGACACTGTAGAAATGGGTGGGGAGATAGCTGGAATGTGAACTAATATTTTTTGTGCTCTTGGGGTAATGGGATTAGAACAGTGGAAGACTTGGAGGTTTTCTGTCAGATGGACCATGTCTGCTGTTAAGCTGTGTTGCATTGTTTTAATTTCCTTCTTCCTCTTCTGTGTACTTCCACAGCGCCAAATCCGTTAACAATTTGCTGCCTTGATAAGACTGAAGCACATTCAGGGTTTCTTCCTGTGCAGTTATTCCACAGGTGCTTGAATCCAGTGTGTCTAAGAAATGTTTTATGGCTAAGCATCTTGTGTTCTGTCTTACTCTGTGGCTGGCAGCAGTAGGTGACAAAACTTAAGTTTTGGACAGCAAAGCAGGAGTGTGTAACATTGGGGCTTACCACTATAGATTAGCTTCTGTATAATTAATCCTGTTCTGTTTCCGTTGTGGTAGGACTTCCTTTGCTGAGCAAAGCACTCAAAACTGGTAGCTTATTGTGTTTGGTAAGGACTCGGATGGACACTAGATTTTTTTTTATACTGAAAAATGTAACTGTATCATAATCTGCTGCAGGGAACAATATTTTCATGTTCTCTCTCCCAGGAATGCAACAAACCCCGTGAAGCCTTTGGATTTGAACAAGCTGTCAGGGAATACACTCTCCAGAGCTTTGGTGAAATGGCTGATAACTTCAAGTCTGATTATTTCAACATGCCAGTCCATGTGAGTTTCAACTTTTTGCTGTGATTCCTTGTAGGGGAAAAAGACTGTTCAGCTGATCCTGGATTTTTGCTATTTTTAAAGAGGCACCCTAAGTTTCAAACATGTAAACAAATCATTTAGCTTTCTGGCATCTGGTCTCATTTCAACTTCATTTCACCCTTTTCTTGGGATGTATAGGTAGGTTGTTGCTTGTTAGGGTAAACCTTATTGGCCATGCTCTGTTGTCGCCCTTTTTGAATCATTGAACCAATTATCTTGTTCTTGTTTGGCAAAGGGGTCTTTCTTCTGCCCTTCCTATGGCTTTTGTCTTGGTTTAGTTTGTTCAGAGGATAAATCATTGTTTTCCTCCCTGTTACAGTGGTTTTTTTGTAGGCGGTTCAATAGGCTGTGTCTGTCTGATAATAACGGTTTGGGCTTTTTGTCCTGCATCTCAGCAGCATTTTAAAAACTAGTGTTTCTGCTTTGGCATGCTTCCATGAATCCACTGTCCTGTAGACTGCATGCAGCACCAAGCTCCTTCTCCTCTCAGGGTTCTTTGGTAATTTATGGGCATACTTCCTAAAGCTTCTACTTTTTTAAGGATTGCAGTTCATGGTACAACTTTGGGACGCAGAGCAAAATGAGGAACAAAGCTTATTTTACAAATACACTTCATAAACGCATATAAGGGAATTGTAATGAGCTATATGAAGATTACACTGTTGAACAAAGTTCTTTATCTGAATTTCCTTACTGTTAGAAGTTCTGGTCATTAACTTCCGAAATAGTTTGGAATTTACATGCTCTTCATTTCATTTGCTGCCTGGCTGCTGCTGGTTGTCTCCTTCTCCCCTTTTTAGCTGTACTTCTGGTAAACCTATCTTTTGGTCTTTTTATTCATGCCATCTCTTATGTGTGGCATCCTATTGCTGTTACATTGCAGCCACTACTAAGGAATACAGACCAAACCCTATGACTTTGAGGAGATGGAGGGTAGAGAGGGAGTGGCTGTGGGATTCATGGAGGATTTATTGCATGAATGACAACTTTTATGTTGGGTCTTATCTGTGCATACCCTAACGTCTTTTCTGCTTTTAGATGGTTCCCACCGAGCTTGTAGAAAAAGAATTCTGGCGATTGGTGAGCAGCATAGAAGAAGATGTTATTGTGGAATATGGGGCTGATATCTCATCCAAGGACTTTGGAAGTGGCTTCCCAGTGAAGGATGGCCGACGAAAGCTGATGCCAGAGGAGGAGGTGAGGAGCAGAATATGTAAACTGACCCCATTCTTTGCTCTGCATAAGATTTCACAGTAAGAATTTAGGTCAGAAATCAGTGTGGATTTATTTTTCTCACAAAGAAGCTGCTTAAGGCTTTTGCCATGCACTTAACATTCCAGTTGAGCGCGGCATTAATCTGGTATCTTAAGTTCTTTTCCAGATCTGGTTGCTGATAGCTAAGCTGCTTTTCATGATTTAAGTCACACCTGGTTTGTATCACTTAGTCTCAGCAGGCAGAATGTGCAAGTTGTTACATTATGTCTGAGTATGAGGGAGCTGATAAGTTTTTTTTTTTCTTCTTCCAAACCTTTTTGTTACTGACTTAGCTATAGATACATGATGCTTAACCTCCTTAGGAGGTTCATAATAGGTAAACCAGAAATACGGGATTTAGCTTGTTTCTCTGACCATGCATACTGTAAGAATGGAAAGATGTAAATACAGCATTCTGTTATAGAAAATTTTATGAAGAACATTTGGTAAGTATATTATCGATCTTTCCCTCAGATCTTACTTTAGTGTATCAATTTTCTGGCTGCCTATATGTTTAAATTCAGGCAAAATGAGGGTAAAGGTGTGATTTCATGACTACATGGCCCAAAACCAATTTATACTGATCACTGGAAGAGTTAATCCTGCTCACTGTTGTCTTCCTACCTGAACCTTTGTTGGCTATGCAGGGATTGTGTAGCTGCTCAGTGAGTCAAAACTGCTTGCTGATCTATTTGGATGAAATTATATTTTCTAGCCAGATCACTTAAGTACTCTGACTTGCTGCATTGTCTTTATAGTGTCAGAGCAAAGGAAATGGCAGGGAGGTGTGGCAGAGCTGAGGGTGTGACTGGTCTGCTTTCAGAAGGTAGACTAATGTTAAAAATAGAGTAGTGAGCTTTTAAGGCAGTCTGTTTGAATTCTCATTTTTTTGTACAAATTGTGTGTATTTGAAGGTGAAGGTGGGATTGCTCGACTAGTGATGCTGTCTTCCCAGAAATGAGTGTGTAGGAATCTCTCCTCTTGAGAAACTTTCTGAAGTAATATATAAAGGTCATCAAGATAAACTGCAGTGCAGTAAAGCAGGTCTTAAAAAAAGCTGAAATAATAACATAAGATTCACTGTGCTGTTTACAGTCTGAAGTTATTCTGTTTTATTGAGGGATTTCAATCTTCTGTCATTCTCTTAGTAGTGCTGGTATTTTGCTCCACCAATAAAGCATGGAACCTATAAACTTGAGGAAGGGGAACCAAAGCCTAAGTGTATAAGCCTTGATCCAAAGAATATGTTGAAATTCTAGGACTGGCCTTAAATCTTGGTCTTGATAAATTGCTGATTAAGGTATCTCAGGAATTACTTCTTTGTTTTGATGCTTCACTACTGCAGAATATTACCCACTCTCTACTGTCAAAATGCATAAGCTGATCTTTTCCTTTATACTTTCCTTCTGTGACTTGGTGTCCTTTTGTACTTCTGATTTGTTTAGTATTTTCTTCTTTTTTTTTGGCAGGATTATGCGCTCTCTGGTTGGAACTTGAATAACATGCCAATTCTAGAACAATCAGTCCTTGCTCACATCAATGCAGATATCTCTGGCATGAAGGTACCTTGGCTGTATGTAGGGATGTGCTTCTCCTCATTTTGCTGGCATATTGAAGATCATTGGAGCTATTCCATCAACTACCTGCATTGGTATGGAGTCTCCTTTATGCATTTACCTTATGCTGCCTTGTTTGCCCTTAGTAAATATGTGGTTCTACTTGAAAGTGCCTGTGCATGCTGATGACATTTAACCAAAAATCTAAATGGGATGAGCAGTCCATATTCTCAAGCTAATTAAAAGTGAATACAGACACTGTTTTAAGCACTTCAGTGTTTTTCATCAACTGATTAAATATTCTGTGGTGCCAAAAATCCAGTGTCACTGCTTTACCAGGCTCACATCTTTTCTAAGGAAGCTTTTGGTTTTGAGAACCGATTTACAGTTCACTGGTTCATGATTTAAAAGTTGGTGTGCCCCTATGTTGCAAATGGAGGCTGCTGCCTAATGGCTTACACAGGCATCAGAGCTGACAGTTCAGCAGCAGATCTATGCATACACAGAAATACTGTTCAAGAGAAGAGAAATTTTAGAGTCTTTTAAAACAATCCTAGAAGTGTTCTGGTGTTCAGCTTTGGTGTTTGAAAAGAAGAGTTTTGACAGATTAACTTATTTCCATTGCAGTCTTCCCAGTCATGAGGCTCAGTCACAGTGGATGGGTCGGGGCGAAAGAAGGAGGAAGCTGTCGAAAGCACCCCTTTATAGAACAGAAAGTTTGTTGTACATCTTGTAAAGATGAGTTGGTGGCCTTTAGGCTGTGATTGCACACTTCTGGAGAAGCATGTTTGCTATTAAAATCTAGTCTGCGGTCTCAGGGGGGAATTAGTTTTGTTTTAAGCTCAGTTATTGTTCTCAGCATGTTGCTAACTAAATCAGCATGTAAGGGGCTGGTGTCAGCTGGTGAATTCCAGCAGCTCAGATGAGTAGAAACCTACTATTAACTGTGTCCTACCAGCAGGTGTCACTGAAGCCTGTAGGAACCACAGAAAATGATGTCGTCTAACTTTGGGATGGTTAGTGACAAAATCATTCATACGGTTGAATAGTGCTGTGTAAATGATTTCAGATATTTCAGCAGACTACTGCTTATACTTAATAAAATAAAAAAGACCCAAAACCTCAGCACTATAGATACAAGATCCAGTCTTTTCTTAACCAAAATAAAGCTTAATGAGGGACTGAAATAATACTTGGTCAAGTAATTTTCTGTTTAGTTTTGATCTTGTTCATCTTTTTCTTCCCTCGTACTTAACTAACTCATGTTATTAGGAATTTTTTATCCTAAGAGTCCAGTGAACCACTGGTTTTCAGTAACTGGTTATGTATATTAGAAGGATTGCTTATATTTTATTGTACTCTAATGTTTTAATTTTTTCCACTCCTGCTTATCTGGTGTACTATTCCACTGTTCTGTGGTTTCAGGAATATGACTACTCAAGGCCTAATTGAGTGAGTGGAGGAGTATCATGATCTCTTTTTCTCCTAAACGTTACCTGTGAATTAAACTTACTTTCTTTTTCCTAAAAGAAAATTATAGTCTATTTTATCCAATTAAATCATGGTAAATGACAATTATCATCCACATACGGCTTGTAATGGCAAATCTGGTGCCAGCTATGTAGAGAACTGTGTTGCAGTTTGTTTGATTTTTCAGATAATAATAATACATCCTGAAGAAGGCTGTTGTTGATAAAAGATACCTTTGTGTCTCTGTGCAAAATATATGGCTTGTGTGAACAGGGCGGCCAGGTTTGAGGTCTGTTCTGCAGTTGGGTGGCAGCATTACTTTTAAGTAATGTGTTTATTATTTATTTGTTGTGTTTTGTTAGGGGAGAGCCAAAGACGTGGTATGGCGTGCCCTCTCATGCAGCAGAGCAGTTAGAAGATGTGATGAAGGAATTGGCTCCTGAGCTATTTGAATCCCAGCCTGACCTCCTGCATCAGCTGGTCACTATTATGAACCCCAATGTGCTGATGGAACATGGTGTACCAGTGAGTAGCACATGAGCATTTTTTACATAAGTACTCCTATGTGCTCTGTTTTTCATCCCATTCCAGATTAGTGTAACAGTGGTTTGGCATAACTGCAGAATTTCCATGGTGGACATTAACATGTTTGGTTCATTAGTTCTGTGGTGTTTTTTTAAAACTGTTTTCTAGTATCTTCCTTAGACTTACCATGAAATTTAAGTTACCTTAAATCAGAAGTGACTGTCAAGCTTCTTATATAAAATATCGTATAGAACAAGTGTAAATTGTGTTACATTTATTGTTTTTAATTAAAAAGCCCCAGCCTGCCATAGCAGCAAGTTTGTCTGTAAAGCGCGTTTCATCTTTTTATGTTAAAATACTTGTTTTATGTTCAGAAGAAATCTCTGCATTACAAAATGCTTTTTTTGACCAAACATAATTGACTGCAGACTTTAAGCACCAGTCACTATCATTTCCTTTTGTCTTAGTATAAATTTCTTCCCTGGCAAATACCCCAAGAAAAACAAACCATAAACTGTTTCCAGCTTTTGCACTGTTTCCAGAAGCTTTTGCACTTTGTGGCACAATGGATTAAATGATGATAGACATCCGTTTTGGGATTCATAAAGAGAATTTTTAACTGTTGGCACATATATTCAGCTTTTTTGAGTAAGACTATCGAGGAGTGACTTTTAAGAAGACAGAACCAATCCTCACCACTGCTGTGGTAGTTACATTGCATGTGATTTCTATAGAAGTAGTGTTCAAATATCTTGTAATTATGTGTCTTTAACTCTGTTGCAAGTTTCATACCTTTTTCCCGTTTTTTTTCCCCCTTTATTCTCACTTGTATTAGGTATACAGGACCAATCAGTGTGCTGGCGAGTTTGTCGTGACCTTTCCTCGTGCCTATCACTCTGGATTTAACCAGGGATACAACTTTGCTGAAGCTGTGAACTTCTGCACGGCTGACTGGGTCTGTTCTGTTTGTATGTGTTTGCTATGTCTTGCTAGGTGACCTTAGCAAGGAAGAATTAATTACCTGAATAGTAGTCTTTTAAGTTACATAGTATGTTATATATTTATAGTTCCTGGTACAACAGTTAACAACTGATGTGAGTTTCTGTTACACAAAATAATTTAATGAGCACATAATTTTAAGCAGCTTCAAACTGAAACTTTGGTATGTGGCCTTCCTTTTTAACTATTGGTCTAATGAAAAAGTGACATTTGCAATACCTTCAGCTAGTATTTGTGATGCCTAATGCCTCTTTCTGAATTTGACACATGCTAATGTACTGTCATGAACAGCTGTTGTCATTTGAATGTTGGAGTAGGCATACTTTTTCCTTCTTTGTGCCAGCTCATTGCACCTTTTAATCATGTGCTTATTCTAATATCCATGCTTACACCACAGCATGGCTTGTGTGGATTCTTCAGTAAGTGGTCAAAAGTGTGTTCTATTACTCTCCAGGGTTTACAGTTCGAGATTGTAATCTCATCTGTAGTTTATCTATGTCTACCTTCTTTTTTGTTACCTGCATGTAGGAATTTTTATCTTTAATCAGAGAATCATATTCATTTGTCAGAAAAATTGTCTGCAAGATTAACAGTGTGTCAGTATTCTTTCGCTTTAAAAGACACAGAATCAGTCATAACCAGTTTTGGTTAATTCTAGTCATCTGGTTAAATGTCTGTGTCCAAGCGCAGTAATATCTGGAGGACAATGCATTCACCTTAAGGTAGAACAGATGGCTTCTTTTCGATGCCAGTTTCTTTCCACTGAAAGTAAAAAGGGCTTAGGACAACTCTTATTGGGCACGTTACATTGTCAGATGCACCCACAGTACAGATACCTTTTTGTCCTCATTTGTGACATGACTTACGGTGGTTATAACTGGGTCTGTCCCATAAGATAAACTCTCTTAGTCTCAGTCTTTCCCAGGATTTGTCAAAGGAAGGAAAATGGAAGCCAAGAGATCACCTTGAAGCTTTTTTTCCCAGAATGACAGATGTAATTTTTTTCTGTAGCTTCCCATTGGACGTCAGTGTGTGAGTCATTACCGAAGGCTGGGACGTCACTGTGTTTTCTCCCATGAAGAGCTAATCTTCAAGATGGCTGCAGATCCAGAGTGCTTGGATGTTGGGCTGGCTGCCATGGTTTGTAAGGAGATGACTCTGATGATAGAGGAAGAGACACGATTAAGAGAGTCTGTTGTACAGATGGTGAGTAATGAAAGACAACTCTTATTCTGCTTGCAAAAGAGCTTTTGCTTCCCCCACCCACCCCCTGGCCTGCATTAGAGAATTTTAGCAAGTGTCCTATTTATTTTCTTTTTTTTAAGGGAGTGTTGATGTCTGAAGAAGAGGTGTTTGAACTGGTTCCAGATGATGAGCGTCAGTGCACAGCTTGCAGAACCACGTGCTTCTTGTCAGCTCTTACATGTTCCTGTAATCCTGAGCGTCTGGTGTGCTTATACCATCCGTCTGATTTATGTCCATGTCCCATGCAGCAGAAGTGTCTAAGGTACACAGGATATTTTTTCTCCTCTGCTTTTCTACCATATCCAATAGTTTGCTGGAGATCAGTGACCAAATACAGCATTTGGCCACACTTTTGTCTACTTTTTTAAGAAATATTTTTATCCTTTGCTGTTTCTTGGTTCCCAGGCAGCCATTATTATACATGTTCTGTCTTTCTTGCCTTGTTGTAGCTGGAAAAACTCAATATAAGCACTATCCTTTTTTTTTTTTGTATTGGCCATTAATAATCTTTCTGTATTTTCTTCCTGTATCTCCAGGTACAGGTACCCACTAGAAGACCTTCCTTCTCTACTATATGGAGTGAAAGTTAGAGCACAGTCTTATGACACATGGGTCAGTAGAGTTACAGAGGCTCTATCTGCCAGTCTCAACCACAAGAAAGGTCAGACTTCTGTCATTTGTAGTAGGATGTCCTGAAACTCCTATGTTTGTTTTGTATTCTCATTTAATGAAACACTGTGTATTGTTTAGTGGGAAAAAGAAAATGAGTGTATTGTTTAGTGGAAAAAAAGAAATGAGCTAATCTGAGTGTAATGCAACTCATCATTCTGCATTTAAGGTTGAACTAGCCTTTGCAACCTTGATTGAAGGCATTTGAAGCAGTCTGAAGTATTTTTTGGTTTTACATACAAATTATGTGCTGTTATTACAGATGTGATTGAGCTGAGAGTAATGTTGGAGGATGCTGAAGACAGAAAATATCCAGAGAATGATCTTTTCCGCAGGCTCAGAGATGCTGTGAAAGAAGCAGAGACTTGTGCTTCAGTAGCACAGCTGCTTCTGAGCAAAAAGCAAAAACACAGGTAGGACAGGCATGTTTTCAACGGTTCCTGGCTTTCTTTTTTGCTGCTTGTTTGGCCCTGGAAATGTAAGAATCCGAGACCTCACTGCCTTCTAACTTCTTTCAGCATTTCCTGTCCTTAGTGCTGTGACTCATTGAGAGGTAGGGGAGACAGATACAGTGACACAAAGGGCCAAAAAATGGACTTGCTTGGAATGTGTTAAGCCTACTGTTTTCAGCTGACTCATGTACTGAAATGTGAAGTCTCTTGGTGAAGCTGTGTGTCTGATCACTCATCAGGTATTTCTCTGAATGTGTGGGAGAACTGTAGGGAAAGACAATTAGAGGGAAAAACATAATGACAGTGAGTCTTGATATTGAATCATAGAATGTTTAGGGTTGGTAAGGACCCAAAAGATCATCTAGTTCCACCCCCTCCTGGTGGGGACAGGGATACCTCACACTAGACCAGGTTGCTCCAAGGCCTGTCCAACCTGGCCTTGAGCACAGCCAGGGATGGGGCAGCCACAGTTTCTCTGAGCAGCCTGTGCCAGTGCCTCACAGTAAAGAAGTTCTTCCTAATACCCAATCTAAATCTGCCCTTTGTCACTTTAAAGCCGTTCCCCATTGTCCTGTCACTACTTGCTCTTGTGAGTGTTTGCGTTTTAGGTAGCATGGCTAAGAACATAGATTAAAGGAATGGAAAGCAAATCTGTTAAAACACTGGATTGCAAAGCAAAATGCTTGAAAAGAATGAAGTACCAATTATGGTGGTTGGGGTCAGAACAGTTCTATCTTCTGGTATATCATTTATCAAAGACACTTACAATTTTACCAGCCATTCTGAAGTTGCAGTATGTGTTGTAATGATGGTGGATTTACTGGAATATGCAAATGAAAGGTGTCTTGCCAGCATTGACTGAAACAAAAGGATCTTGGGGAGCAGAGCAGCGCAGAGAACAGAAACAGTCCATAGTTTGAGCCAGTCTTTTTCTTCTTGGGAAGGACCATGGGAAGCAGTGATGTGTGGCTGAAAAGTAGTGGCTTGCCTCAGTGACTTCTGCCAGTTCAGACTCACTTAGTTCTGTTTCCAGCCTTGCCTGTGACTGCCTCAGTGTCACTGTCCCCACCTCAGCAATCTGCTGGATGTGTCCCCTTGCTCTGCTCTCATGAGCCTTCAGCAGTGTGTTCTTCCTTCTCTCCTGTGAGTTCTGTGCACTGAATAAAACTCCCGTAGAACCATTTGATCAGATGATCATAACTTTTGTGCTGGCAGTTGTGTGCGAAACTTAATGGCTTGCATTTTCTCTTACTGTAAGGTTTGGCTTTGCAGTTGGTTGGGTTTTTTTGCATGTGTAGCTTTTGTATGTAACTTAAGACTTTTCCAGGAAGGGAGTAAAAAGTAAATACTTTGTTAATTATAATACTCACCTTTACTACACAGAACATAACATGTTACAATTCCTTGAATATGAACACTGAAATATTAATTACACCACAGATGGAAGTATAACACCTAATGAAATCGAAGAGCTGTTCTAAAATAGAGAAGCATTTTTGCTGTATATGAAGGGGAAGGAAGGCTGTCCTGTTTGGCTTTTATTGCTTGTAGGGTCCCACTACCACAGAGGTAGCTTAGAACTGTGGTCTGGGTGAGGAAAGCAGTGTTGGAGGGGTTCCATTGCCCTGTTCTTAGTGAAGTTTGATTATTTTGGTAGCTCCCAGGTGTTCCTGGACTGTTACTGCTTCCTTGTCCTCTTGCTGTTGGAGTGTGTCAGCCTTCTCTTGAAAGACTTGCCTTCAGTTAATTATTTGCTGGATTTTCAGCACTGTCCCAAGAAACACAAGGGGTAGGAAGATTTGACAGCTTTCAGTGGTGTGTCTGATCTAAAGCTGAAAGAATTCCATGGGGGAAAAGGGCTCAGATGTGTATCTCAGGGCTGTTGTATGCTAAATAGCAGTATGTTACAAAATTGAGGTTTGAGACATTTTTGAAGCCTTTTTGATGAACAGTGTTAGGGAATTTAAATACAGAGGTCATATTCAGCTGTTTCTTTTATGTTTATGTTTAATACATAGAGAAGGATCACATTTACACAAAGGGTAAGGCTGTTAAAAAGGCAGATTAAAAATGAGTGTTCAAACAGAACAATTTGGCAGAGACTAAAGCAGCAATAAACATATGATCAAATGTAGCAAAAGAAAATCTATCCTTATACATCTGATTATATATAAACCTGAAAAATAGGTAATTTGTAGCTGTATCTGTTCAATATTCCAAGCCTCTCTCTCTCCCTGCTGTTGAAAGTTGTGAGTTTCCATAGGCAGGGATAGTTGCATCTCTTTGTGCAGCATCTCGTGCAGTGTGCTGTGCCATCTCCTGTGGCAGTCTGTGGTTGGACTAGGGACAGAATTACACTGCCATGTTTCAGAGAGCGTGCCGTCCCGAACATCCAGTGCAGCCAACAATTCCTTCTCACTGTTGTAGCAAGTCAAAGCCCCTGGTATTCTTCCCTCCACAAGTTTTTGATAGAGTGTAATTATGTTTGATTATTAATCTAAAATGTTACTTTTACACTTACATTTAAGTCTGTAGGTTGAAGGATTTTTTGTTTTATTTTCTATAGTAATAAAATGTAGATTCATTAGCAGGCAGCAACTCTTCAGTGTTTAAAATCTGGCCTGCTTGTGAAGTTGTTATGCCTGCCAGTGATACTTATACTAAGTGTTTAATTTGTGTAGCGTGTCACTTTTAAGTCTTACTGCATTCAGTGGGCTTGTTATAGTTGCCTCATGATATTTAATGGAAGTGTCTTTGCAGAACGTGTCCTGCTTAATAGCCTTTTTCTGTTGCAAGGCCAGTTTCAGTAGTTTGCTGGCTACAAGAGAGTAAGATCTAGAAAATAAGACTTCTTTTCAGAGCTTGCTTCTGTTACATACCTCAGATTTCTTGTCAGCGCCTGCCATGGCAGTCAACTTCTTGAGCTACGTAAAGAAGGCTTTTTGGGACTGTGTTCTCTTGCCTATTTGGAACAACCTCCATTTGAAAGTCATCTGGACAATCCCACCTTGGAAGAGCAGGGTGGATTCTCTTGAAGATGTGTAGAGGTCATATATTAAAATTAGTTTACAAGATTTTGGAATTCTTGTGAAGTTTGGGGCTTTTTGAGTTCTGAAGTGATACAAATTTATTTTATTTTTAGGATCTTGGGAATCTTGATAGCTTTCTGTTACTGGGAATAAATTCAGGGATCATCATCTTTCCTCTCACCTAGTGTTGTCTAATTATGTCTTTTCATACAGCCGACAGAGCCAAGATAGTGGAAGGACAAGGACCAAGCTAACCATGGAGGAGCTTAAAGCATTCGTACAGCAGTTGTTTAGCTTGCCCTGTGTTATTAGCCAGGCCCGACAAGTAAAGGTACGTTTGCCTCTGCTTCTCAGGTAATCTCATGCTATTTGTTTCTGGTTTTGTGGTATGGTTTTTTTTGTTTTGTTTGTTTGAAACGTAATATCACCTGGTGTAAAGGATGAAAGCCTTTTTCTTTAAGGATCAGTCCTGCACTTTCAGAAATGGATTGAATGGGGTGTTTTATTTCCAGCTTCTAATATAAAGCAAATAGCTGCTTTGCAATAATGTCTGTAGCCTCAAGACAGGAAGGAAAAGACTCTGGATAAATCTAGCTTAGTGTCTCCCTGCTTTACTGGGTAATCTTGCTGTTGTCATTGAAGTTTTGCTGATGCCATGTTTCCCATCATGATATCCATAATGCAATGGTAATATATATTTTGTGCTCATTTGCAAGCATATCTTTAAGTGGGCAGCGATGACATTTGTACATTTATGCTAGTGTAGCCTTAGCAGCTTAATGTGTGGGGCTCAGTTTGGTAGCCTAAACTTCGATATCTGTGAGATTCTCTGTAAGGTATTCCATCTGGCATCCATTGCCATTCTGGAAGAATACCTTAGGTCTTGTGTAGCAGTCTAGCTACATGTAGCCATAGCATGGGGTATTGCTCATGGTGGTCAGCTTTAGGCAAATGAACAGAGCATGCTATATGACTGTGCATATGCTTTTCCAGGTGCCTGTTGCAATGGGCATTTGTCAGATGGGGTGGTCTTGCTGTAGCTAAAGCAAGATAAAAGATCCATCCTCCCTGCCCGTGGCTGTACGGGTGGCGCAGTTTTATCTCTCTGAACCAGTTACTCTATTCCAGCATCATTAATGCTATTTGTAGTTGTGGAATTTTCAGTATATGTTGGTTGTTGTTTTTTTTTTTTTTCTGAAGATTACACTGGTGTGCTTCTTTAGGGGAGAGGGAAAGCAGTGCCACATTGGCAATTGGTCTGTAAATACGTCTCAGCCTTACTTTCCAAGTTGTAGCCCTCTTAATCTGTATGCATGGCCTGCATTTCTTATCCTTCTTATATATCTTTGCACCTGTCTTTGAATGAATCTAGACCTAGACTAGTCCAGATCAAACTGATTCCTCTGGCTGCTATTAACGTTTGTCACTCTGGCACTCTATCATAGCAAGTGTTTTCAGGAGCAGTCTTAATTTGTGTCACTGATGATGAAATGTTAAACGGTGTTTCACCTGCTAACCAACTTCTAGAAAACTCCTTCAAGAAATATCCTTGAAGATTTTTCACCTTGAGATATGACTGTTGAGATGTATGCATTAACCATTTATTAATGCACATGTTCTGTTGATACAGATTTAAGAAGAATATTTAATAGTGCTAGATTGAAAGACTAAAATTCTAAATATTAACATATGTGCAGCTACCATTTAACATCAACAAACGTACAGTTTAAAAATCAGTCTTGTTTGAGAAGACCTCTTTTCCATGTTTATTAGCGTTAGTTACATCCTTCTTCATTCATGAATCCTGTGTTCGCTTTTCCATGGTAGTTCAGTGTAGGTGTCATGGATAAACTTTATTTTGGACTTTCTTGTCTTTATGATGTTGGTATGTTGTTGCTGAAAACAAGTACCTTCAAAAAGTATAGGGCTTCAGGATGCAGAGTTTTCAGGCCTGTTGACACGGATCTTTATCCTTCAAAGATGTTCTTTATTATGTTTCCCAGCAGCTAATAGAGTGGGAAGTATATTATCATCCTCATATGGTAGGATGATTTAGTACACTTCTTTCCACATGCAAACCAGGAATATTTACTAATACTTATTCATGAAATTTTATCATCAATTAATAGACCTATAAGATTGTTCTCAAAGGAGGTTTTATGTTTCTAATGTATTTAAAACCTGCTTCTAATTAAGACATAATTTGTAGATGACAGAGCTGTGGGCATACAATAAACTTAATAATTTTATTTGTATTTTTGTCTAAATATTTTCTCCCAACTACTCTTTCTTCCCCCTGCCCTCAGCCTTAAGAAACTGGATCTGTGTCAAGTACTGTGTGCATGTGTGTGTTCTTTAAGCTTCAACATAATCACTAGCCAATAAAATAAATATTACCATTTTACTGGTTACAAACCATAGACTTTTAGTTCCTGAATGAATTTAGATAATGATCATTTGTGCTAAGCACTTGCTAACTTTCCGCATGGCATTTGAATGCAATTATCCTTCATAATAAATTGCAAAATAATTGTCATGTTGGATCATGAGTATTTTCTAACACAAAAGGCATTATAATTATTAAACTGTAATAATTCACTGTTGTCACTATGAAGCATTGAGCATATGTTCCCTAAATCAAGATCTTTGTAATGTAGATCTCATTCCTTTTTGTAAATGCCTTCTGGTTTCCAGGCAGTCATGAAAAGCAGCATCAGACAAAAAGGGCAGTAAGCTAAGGGTTAGGAAATGCAGTTTTTGCTCCTCATTGTGCCATCGATTTGCTATTAGAAATACCTGCCTTTTTGTAAGACTCAGGAGTGAATCAATTGAGTAAAATGGGTGAATGTCCTCGAGTGAATCTCCTGCAGAGATTCTTTCTTGTCTGTTTGCCATCTTTGATTTTTTTTCATTGCAGTGCCAAAACATGAGGATAAGGACAACTGCAGCAGTGCAGTTGGATTTCTGTGAAATGCTCTCCTTTCATTAGAGGATTTTGCATTCCCATTTCTTTCCTCTGTACAGTAAACTGTGATATGTTAAACTGGTGAGCCTGCTTTAGGAGAGTAATTTCAAAATTGACCATCATTATTCTAATGATCTTTTGATATTCATGTCCTTTTACAACTAACTCTGGCTTGTTTTTTCTCCTCAGCATGTTTTTGTGCATTACCACCATTACTGTAATGCTTCTGACAAGTTGAAAGGAGTATGTTTTCTCCCACTGTTTTAAAATTAATGTTGACCTTGCAGTGCATAATGTTCTGTGTTGTTGGGAGCTGCAGTAAGTTGCAGTTGTACTATTATAGGTACAGACTTTGATGCAGCTAATATGCCCAGTGAATGAGACGTTAGGCCGCTGAATGAGTTTAGATGGTCTGTTACTTAATGTGTCAGACTTGATGGCTTGTGACAATGGGCTGGCATTGTGTATAAAAGCTCTGACTGATTATGCGGTGATCACATATGAATTCATAGCTGACTGATCCCTCAGTCAACTTTCCCCTTTGATTCTGTGGGCGTTTTTTTCCTAAATTGACTTGTACTGTATGTTACTTCAGAATCTGCTTGATGATGTGGAAGAGTTTCATGAACGTGCTCAAGAAGCTATGATGGATGAGATCCCAGACTCTTCCAAGCTGCAGGAGTTGATAGATATGGGCTCTGGCCTTTACGTAGAACTTCCTGAACTGCCAAGGCTGAAGCAAGAACTGCAGCAGGCACGGTGGCTGGATGAGGTGAGATCCACCCTCTTGGACCCCCAGAGGGTCACCCTAGATGTGATGAAGAAGCTGATTGACTCAGGTGTGGGCTTGGCACCACACCATGCTGTAGAGAAAGCCATGGCTGAGCTGCAGGAGCTGCTTACAGTCTCGGAGAGGTGGGAGGAGAAGGCCAAGGTCTGCCTGCAGGCAAGGTGAGTGTTCCTTTACAAATCTTCTTATAGGTCACACGCTTTTGGGATTCTCAGCCTCTTTTGAGGAGTGTGGTGGAAACTAGGGGCTTTGAAGCTGTAGTGTATGGGCTTTTCACCTAACAGCAGTTTGGTTGCTCAGAGTTGGATTTGAGGTTATTGATGAGTTGCAGAAGGATTGATTGCCTGTCATGCTGCAGGAGGCTGTGATGCTGCTGCTTTGCTATTCATCCACCTTGACAGAAAGCACTGAGTATGCTACACAGTACCACTTCCTCAGCGTTACAGTTTGAGTCTATCGGCTTTTCTTACCTTTCCTATTCTTTGGTAACCAATAGCGCCCTCCAAGAGTAGAGCCATGGTATCTTACACTGCAGTGTAGTGATGAAGTTGCATCACCAGCCTGTCATATTTATGGCTGTAGTTATCTGTCATTTTGAGAGAAGGCTGGAATTGAGTTTTTCTTACTCTAGGCCACGCCAAAGTATGATGGCTCTGGAGGGCATCGTGAATGAAGCAAGGAACATCCCTGCTTTCCTCCCTAATGTGCTGGCACTGAAAGAAGCCCTGCAGCGGGCTAGAGACTGGACAGCCAAAGTGGAGGCCATTCAGGTAGGGGTTACAGCAGGGTCTGGAATCTTCTGCTTGCATCCTTTTATTTAGACATATTCTTTATTCTGGTGCCTCTACCCACAAAGGTGACCTGAAGGGAAGCTGTGCTATAGCTGTTAATACGTGCTTACCTGAGCTCATGTGCTTGAATTTCTTTTTGTGCTGCTGTTTCCCCATTGGTTATCCAATTTCTATTTCCCTTCCTTTTATGCATTTCATGGGGGATGTAAAAGCTGGGAAATTCATTATGATACGAATGTAACTTCCAAGTGGTCTTTGGTATTGAAACTCTTTTGCACGCTGTCACTGTAAACACTTCGCTGCAGCAGCAGATGCTATGCTCACAGGTGTTTGGTTTTGAAGCTGGCTGTGGAAATTTTGATTGTTTATTCTCCCCAAAATGGTGTGCAAGATTTAATGGCACTGGTGGCCAAAATTTTCGATCTGGAATAGATGAAATTATGCTACTGTTGGTTAAGTAGCCTCCTTGTCCACTGGTCTACGCACAGAACTTGATCCAGAAAGGACATGGCTTCTGTGATATTTCTAGACATTGATATCTGGACTGCACCTGCTATTTTTACATCAGTTATTTGTTGGGAACTGAAGTGAGAATCCCAACTGATTTCACATCAGCCCCCGTAGAACTCTTGGATATAGTAGCTTGTTAAGCAGACAGCATTTAAGACAACTACATAGTAATGGAATGTTGTTTTACTCCCTAAGCCAGCTAGCAGTATCAGAATGACTAAAAATAAAACCTCTGAGAGAAGGTTTTTTTTAAATAACAGTAAGATTGAAATATTGCCCTCCTTCCCTTTCCTATGGAACTTTATTTTACTCAGTTACAAAGTAGTGTGTGTCTTGAAATTAAGCTGGCCACTGATATCATGGTGGAATCACTGGCTTAGAAAAGTTTCTTTTACCCCAGAATGGGAGCAACTATGCTTACCTGGAGCAACTGGAGAGCTTGTCTGCCAAAGGCCGCCCAATACCAGTGCGTCTTGATGCCCTGCCACAGCTGGAGTCACAGGTAGCTGCAGCACGTGCCTGGAGAGAGCGCACAGGAAGGACCTTCCTGAAGAAGAACTCAAGCTACAGTCTGTTACAGGTGAGCAGCAGACACTTACGTGTCAGCCTTTAGAGTCTTGATGGCCCTCTGTGGTCTGGAGGGAACAGCTTGTTCAATTAAAGTAGGTTACAGCTCCTGTTGAGACCAGGATATAGTAAGAAACTTCAGCTGTTCTCAGGTGAAAAGAATGAAAAAGGCAAAAAGTCTGTGTTTCGCTAGTTTTGTTTTATGTATAGACAACCTCAACTGTTACTTTTGAAGAAACAGATTAAAACTCTCCTTTTTTGGGAGGGAACAAAAAGAACTTACCTTCTTGTGTAATTGTAGAAATGTAAGCCTGAAATGGACATAGAAGCTGCCTTTAATTGATGAATGTTTAAACTTGTTCCGCTGCTTAAATTCTAAGGAAATAGATTAGATATAAGCTGTTTAAGACAAATTAAGCCAGCTGCTGCGTATTTAACTTCAATGAATGTAGTCACTGTCTTTGTTTTAATAAAAATCATTCATGTGTTTGAATATTTATTGTATCTACTTGACAGGCTTCCCTTTTAGACAGAAAACAGTTCCAGTTCTTTCAGTGCTTTCCTGTAGGCTGTATTTTCCATACTTTTTATCTTGTTGCTATTCTTTGTAGTTTGTCTTCACTTTCAGTGTGTTGTCCAAAACCAGGCAGAATCCTCTTGCTATGGTTTCCCTAGTGCCAGGTGAAGTGCAATAATTACATCTTGTCTCCAAGGGGATACTGCTGTTTAATGTTTTCCAATGGTATCTGCCCCTACTGTTACATCACACTGATTTCTGTTCAGTTTATGAACTCTAGATCCAAATTTCTTTCTTTGTATTTATTTTTCTGCCTAACTGGTTACTTAATATATTCTGGTTTTGCATTTGACTGTTGTCTCACTTGTATCAATTTGCGCTTTTCCTCTACTGAGTTCAGTTTGCTGGATTTTATATTTAAGTATGCTTTCCAGCTAATGAAGGTGACTTAAAATGTAATTCTTATCCATAAAAGTGCTTTGCAGCCTCTCATCTTTTGATAGTAAAAGGAGGATAGCACTTTTTAAAATTTTAGCCACCAAATTAGTATAGATGAAATCACGGCAGATCTTTAAGACTTTCAATTGAGCAAGGCGCTTGAAGTGAATGTTTAAACTACGGATACCTAATTGCATACAGTATTTCAGTTAGCTATGTATATGGTAGCTTAATCTGAACAGATTTTGTAAGTTCAGTGCTTTCGAGTTGACCTGCCACATCACTGTCCAGATGTATGAAATACTTACATCTTCTTCCTAGCATTGACAGGTATCAAAGGTGTTAGATTGCTGAATATTTTTTGCCCTCTGACACTGTTGTAATTTCTTTATCAGATGTTCTCACATGTCCCTGACATCGTAACATTATAGATGAGAGCTTTTTGTTCTTGTCATCCTTGGCTTTGACAGTAAGTTTTCTTCATGGTTACAGGTTCTGAGCCCTCGGACTGATATTGGTGTTTATGGGAGCAGTAAAAATAGGCGGAAGAGGGCAAAGGAGTTGATGGAGAAGGAAAAGGAGAAAGATCTTGACTTGGAATCCCTAAGTGAACTGGAGGATGGGCTGGAGGAGGCCAGGGACACTGCAGCTGTGGTGAGGAGTAATGAAAGATAGTGTCTTCTGTTATGTGGGTTTAACTCATCTCTGATCTGTGTAGATGTCATATGGAAGAATTGATAAATGAATCTTACTTAAAGAAGTGTCTCATAAGATGTTTGACACAAGTTGAACTGTATTCTTTAATTGCAGTAAAGATAGAGGGGAAGCACAGTTCAGAGTATAAGGGCCGGTATTTAATACACATTTGGTTATATGTAAGACTTAAATGTTTGGGTTAATAACTGTGGTTGCTCATCTAATATTATTAACATTTATTGAAACCCCATCAAAATAATGTGGACTGAAGTGCTGCTTTACCTTGAACCATTTGGTTCACACATTTGGTTAGATCGATTACAAGGACAGCTTGTAAATGCTTGGTCATAGAAACTAGGCTGGAGGGGGATGTTATATGTGATTCCTCCTTGTCGGGAGGATATTGATGCAGCTTATCAGAAGAATTTGCTGTCCTTTCTCCAGGAACAAAGAAAATATAGGCAGGCTCATTAATGTGATTTATGTGTAGTCTATTTTGACTTACGTTGTGGTTTAAGCCCAGCCGTGGGGTCAGAATGGTTGAGATAACAGATCTGACCAGAGTGTGTCAAAACAAATTTGTTACAAACACTCATTGTTTTGGGTTAATAGTCATTCATCCCAGTGTTGATTTATTTGCTGTCAGAGTTGTTGCCCTTGGTCTCACAGTTTCTGTATGGCACACCTTACTTGCAGGCAGTATTTGCTGTCTTAGTGTTTATTGGCTTTGGGGCTTGGGCTCAGGTTCTGGTGAGCGAATGGCTGCGTGGTGCTGAGTTACTGGCTGGTTTTAAACCATAACACCTTAGTATGCTTTGTTATAGTTACTTGAATGGAAAGGTTGAGGAAATTCCAATTGCTTCAGGATATACATGGTCACTCAGGTGCTCCTGGTGCTGAATCAACATTGAAACAATGCTCACCTGCATTGTGTCAGCAGAAGGGCTTGGAGTAATGAGTAACTGAGGAGGAGGTATTTTAGCTAATGTTTTCATTAGGTCAGACAACTCCTAGATTTTGGGGTCGTTTAACCAGGAAGATCTCTTGATATTTTTTTTATGGGTTCCGCCCCCCCATGCTGCTAATAAAATGTAACCTTTGTTACCTGTGAGGGTTGTGAACGTTTTTTGTCTTTGCTTTGCCATTTAGGTGGCTATATTCAAGGAGCGGGAGCAGAAGGAGATTGAAGCCATGCATGCTCTCAGGGCAGCTAACCTGGCCAAGATGACTATGGTGGATCGAATCGAAGAAGTCAAGTTCTGCGTCTGCCGCAAAACAGCTAGTGGATTCATGCTGCAGTGTGAGCTGTGCAAAGACTGGTTTCACAGTGGCTGCGTGCCCCTTCCCAAAACAAGTTCTCAGAAGAAGGGCTCTAGTTGGCAGGCCAAAGAAGTGAAGTTTCTGTGTCCACTCTGCATGCGTTCTCGAAGACCACGGCTTGAGACAATACTGTCTTTGCTGGTGTCCCTGCAGAAGCTGCCTGTACGGCTTCCGGAAGGGGAAGCATTGCAGTGCTTGACAGAACGTGCCATGAGTTGGCAGGATCGAGCACGGCAGGCTTTGGCCACTGACGAGTTGTCGTCTGCTTTGGCTAAGCTTTCTGTGCTCAGTCAGCGAATGGTGGAGCAGGCAGCACGGGAGAAAACAGAGAAGATAATCAGTGCAGAGCTACAGAAAGCAGCAGCTAACCCAGACCTGCAGGTAGGGATGAGGATATTCTGTTCTTTACTGTACTTCTTCAGTGTGTCAAAATGCCTTAAGTTTCTTGGAGAAGTTTGGAATAGATGGAAGGTCAATTAAAAACTGAGAAAGAGACAACCGAATTACTCAGTTCAGTGCTCCTCAGTCTCAAGCCATGGCTGGCTTCAGTCAGTTGCTTTCTGCTCCAGAAACAGGTCTGTTGCTTTGTATTCATTGTCAATAGCAACTGCTGAAGGTGCTTGTAAAGACATTGATTCAGATGTAACCGCTGGTTAAGGGCCTGAAGGTGTGTAAAGCCTTATTTTGGTGTCTAAATTCCATTTCCCTCTTGACAGAATCAAAGGTCTCAATATTTATGATTTTTCATGGATTGTTATTTTAGGGTATTTGATGTCTTGATAGTAAATATCAGTGAGGACCAAAGGCAAATACTGTTACTTCTACAGCTGACCTCTTTATTTTGAGGTTAAGATTAGATGATGCTGTGGTGAAGAAGTACACAGGCTATAATTTGGTGGCACTGAACAGCAGTACCTAGATCTTTCTAGTCACTATTATTCAAAAACATGGAAATAAAATAGAACCTTTTCTATGAGTATTTCCCTGTCCTCACACCTTGCTGTAACTAGGCTTATCTGTGACTGTCCAGGCAGTTATCCTCAGGCCAAAAGAAACACTGGTTTCTTTGTGAGTAACTGCTTAGCATTTTTAGAGATTTTTTTTTTTTTTAATTTTATTGCTTCATTCCCATATTCCATTTTACTTTTTAGGGGCACTTGACTAGTTTCCAGCAATCAGCCTTTAACAGAGTGATAGGGAGTGTATCCTCATCTCCACGGCAGACTTTGGATTATGATGATGAAGAGACAGACTCTGATGAAGACATCAGGGAGACGTATGGCTATGACATAAAGGTAAGTAATTCAATGTGGCTTGTGTGTATGGAGTGAATTCCGAAAGCCTGGTTTTTATTAACTCATTTTATTTCAGAATGCTTTTTGTATCTTAAACTATCACTGTGCATTCTACCATGTCTTGCATTGCAGAAGAGGGAGTTCTTGATTTTATCTTAATGTCTCAGTTCTGGACTATTGGAAAGTTTTGTAATGTTTTCATTTAAAATTTTCAAATATCCTGTTAGAGTTTCAGAAGGTTTTTTTTAGTGCTAAGTAAAAAATATACACTTCTCAAGGGATTTGTGTTTATAATGCCATAGAGGATGAACACGGTCTTTACGCTCCATTCAGAGATAACGTGTGTAAGTGTCTATATGAGAACTCTTGAACAGTTTTCACTACAGCAAAAAATTAGTCTTAGAATATTGCATGCCCTATAAGAAATTTGCTAATGCCAGAGCTTCTTTTGCCTTTTCATACCTCTCCGTTCAACCGTCATATAAAGGAGGTATCTTCAATTCTGGATGTGTGGAAATACTGAGGACTAACTGCCTGGATCATGTTGTGAGCCCACTGTCTGGATTCAGTTCAGAAATTGTAGCTGCAGTTAATACTTTAAGTAGAGAAGAATCGTCATGAGAAAAGGCAGTTGTAGAGATAGCCAAGTGTTTTCAGTGTGTTGTATTTCACTTCAGAGCTTCTGAAATGTCCTTTAGGTATATGCAGAGACAAGAGCAATGCCACTGTGCATTCTTGTGCAGCGTTTTAGTTTGGCAGTAGTGTCATATCTACCTTAAAAGTTGCAAACGTAAAAGACAGTGTGGTCATGTAAATTCTTCTAAGGCAGATTTTATGGTTCATAAAGGGACAGCAAATTTTCCATATATGATTTGCCTCAGTCTCCGATTTAGTATTTTGATTCTAAGCAGCTTTACGCAAATGCACATATTTGTCTTACAGTCCCATGTGAAATGGCAACCCAAGTACATTGTGGTTGGGTGCTACAGCTTTTAATTTATTTTTATATATAAAAATTAATATCCAAACTACTTTGCATGAGGAATCATAATAAGGCATTTCTGAAAAATGTGGCATTTTCTGAGGCTGTGATAAAGCATATGTCAGGAAAGATGGCATATGGTTGTCAGGATCTGAGGGTTTTGCAGGGTTATAATTTTATTTGTTTAATGATTCTGTTGCCATGATTTCAAAACCTGTTACTTAACCCTTCTCGTGGGGATGTCCATCACTGTATAGAAAAAAACAGAAATCTGTCAAAGGAAAGCTGATGGAGACCAGAAATGCCTTTTGTTAAGTCAGTTAACATGATTGGAATAGAAGGCTCTTAGGCAACCAGATTCTTCCCGTCTAAACTAGGAAAAGCAAAGTCGTACAGAGTTTTAATTACTTTTATACTGTTGGCTTTCAGGTGTTGTTTTTTTTTTTTTATTTTATTTTTCTATTTTATGATCTATAAATGTTTTCCAGTGGAGTGATGTGTTTAAAAAGAAAAAAAAAAGTATATAGATCATGCTGCATCATGTATGAATTAGCTCTTAATTACTTCTTGTGGACCTGGTAGATGTAATCCTTGGATGCCTAAGAATCCATGGACTATGTTTTGAAAACCATGGTCTCTGACATCTCAAGTTCAAGTGATCACAAAAACATATGTGAAAAGGCCTGTTTGATTACATTGTGCTGCCTCCAATTAAAACATGATTCTTGCCAGCAAATACTTTGAGTGCAATAGTTAGACTCGGTTCATTTTGTTCCAAGCAGACTGATTCACTAGTCAGATTTACTGCAAACTTTCTTCACCTTTAATTCCTTTAATTTTTGTTTTATGTTTGTTCTCGTTCCTTTGCACCTGTGTTGCCTATAGCCACCAAGTGGTGATATCTTTTTATTAATTTTCCCTATTGGCTTTGAGCAGTCTTTAGTGCAGTGTAATACAATATCCAGGACAAGATATTATATGAGATATAACTTCTACTATGTAGGGAGAAATACCATCCCCTTTCTGAATACATTTCTTCTACCTTTTCATCTGGGCAATTTAAATCTGAATTTCCCACTTGTAGTTCTGCACTGAAATCATTAGTTTGCACTTCACTTCCTTTTAAGCATATAATTGAAAGCCAGAGAGAGATTACCATTCTTAAATTCCCTTTTTATGTCGTGAAATGGCAGTGTCTGGGTGGTACAATTTCCTGAGTTGGCCACTTTGGGACCCACAGAGCTAATATTCAGGTAAATATTGTCAGTACTGCTCTACAGCCTTTCTCTTCTTCTAAGACAGCATCTTGGATTTTATTGCTTCCTGAAAGATTTCAGTCGTACGCAGCATGCTAAGTATATTTAACTTGTTGGCCAGGTTCACCACAAATATGATGGGGTAGCTAAGTTTTGGAAAGTGCTGTGGAAGTGGGCAGCTGGTTGAGGAGATTAACCTAATTCTTTGCCTAATGGGAAGTCAAGCAAAGCTTCTCCCATTGCTAAGAGATAAGGAATCTTCTCTTAGTAGATCCACCTGCACCTGAAGGCATGCATCCCATTTCAGATTGTGATCTAAGTGAAGCATTAGTTCTATACAATCCTTTGTGCATCTTTCACAATGTATTGAGCTGAATGTAAGCCAGTGCTGTCATTATTCTGTTAGTTGAAATACAAGTCTCAAGTATTACAGTCCTCTTCCTTTCAGTGTTCAGTCCTATCTTAAAATGGCTCAAGAATGCCATAGAAATCCCAACACAAACTATAAATCTACTGACCTATGTCCATAGTTGCTATTTTCATTCACTGAGTAGAGGGGTGTAACTTGCACCTTTTGCACATGGCCTTGGTGTCTGGTGGGGTGCTTCAAAGTGGTATTTAGAAACAGTAAACTGGTCAGTCTTAGTAGAATTTGTATTGAAGCAGCTGTTTTCTGGATCAAGATGTTGCATGTTTTCTGTGGTTCTTTTTCAGGACAATGCCAGTGTAAAATCTTCTAGCAGCTTGGAGCCCAATTTGTTTTGTGATGAGGAAATCCCCATTAAATCAGAGGAAGTGGTGACACACATGTGGACTGCTCCCTCATTCTGTGCTGAACACGCATATTCATCTGCTTCTAAAAGCTGCTCTCAAGGTATTTGCTTTTGTATGCATTGAGTTAAAATAGAACAGAGAGCTGAGATGGGTGGTCAGTAAGGCACTGTAGAGGATATGTTGTCTATGGAAAGGTAAGTGTTGTCTATGGAAAGGTGAGTTTCCTGATATATAGACCTGCATCAATGTTTTTACTTGGGATTGGCTCCCTCCTTAGGTTGTTGTTGTAAAAAGTATATGATTTTTTTTGCTGTTTTGATCTCTTCCTTTTATCCTTACCTAACTTGATGACTTTTCCCCTGCCTGAAAGGTTCTAGCACTCCAAGGAAGCAGCCTCGGAAGAGTCCACTGGTACCTCGCAGTTTGGAGCCACCTGTATTGGAGCTGTCACCTGGAGCGAAAGCTCAGCTGGAAGATCTAATGATGGTAGGAGATCTGCTGGAGGTGTCACTGGATGAGACTCAGCACATCTGGCGGATTTTACAGGCTACTCATCCACCTTCTGAGGACAGGTTCCTTCATGTTATGGAGGTATGGAACTTGAAGTAATATTCTGATACTGGGGGGGGGAAATGTGTTGTTTTGTTTTGTTTTGTTTTAAATATAATTGGGTAGTTGAATGCTCAGTTACTCAGCATGTTTGGATTTCAACCAGGGAGTGCTAGATTCCAGAAAATAACAGAATAGGAGACCAAAACATTCAGTTCTTGATCACTCAAGCCATAGCATTGTCCTTCACAATTCACTATATTTTTAGCATTTTTTTTTCAGGCAGTTACATGTGCAAACCTTATTTTAGAGAATATAAGGTTAGGGAAGAAGAAGCTGTTCTTGATTATGCTTGGAACTGCTCTGCAGAAGAATTGCAAGAAATACTTAGGAAGACGGAAAGTCTATGGTTAAACTGTATGACTTGATACTTGTATGTTGCTGAACTTTGTTTGTTAATGGGGAAAGAACACCTTCATAAAATGTGGTTTGGGAATGAAGAGAATAAAATTCCTATCCTTAGAAAAACGCAGACATAGCAGTGTTTTTTTAATATACTGTGAAGATGCACTGATCACTTTGCTGGCAGTGAATGAGGCAGGCTTATCTGCTGAGGTCTAGTCAAAATCACTTAGCCTCATTTGTGCAGTGGATAAAGGATATGTGCTGGAAGAGAAGGTAAGCTCTTGTGTTAAAGAGCTGTACTGGAACCCATCTTTATCATCTGTCAGCTGAGGTTAGGGGTCAGTTTGACCATGTGTAGTTATGGAGTATGTGATTGTTTTTTGGGTTACTGAACTGCACAGATAACACTGAAAATGGTTCTTTCTTGACTGCTTGTAGTGTGCAGTAATATAAGATGGAAGACTACATGCTGTGAACAGTGAGGTTAGATGAGCATATTAATTGGTTGTCTCATTTTCTGAGTGGCATATATATATAATGTATAAGTCAAAGTGTTGTCAAACTGCCATTAGTTAGGAGAGTAGCATAAAGCAGACCCTGCCTCCAAAGAAGTACTGCTTTACCATGTTTTGACCTATGTACTTCATAAGCTTAATGTTATTTTCATGTAATGGGTTTGGCATGGAATAGATTGAAGAACAGTTTGAATGTCAGCAAATAGCAGTTCATAAATAGTATGCCAGACTGTTATATTGATAGTTAAGCACAGCTTTTTTTTTTCAGGGGATGGAGGTAAGAGGGTGTGTGTTAACATTTTCAGGTTAACCCTTAGGAATACTTGTTTGACCAGAACTACTCATTTTGAATTTAATACTTTTCTGTGTCTATTCACATGCAAAATAAGTACACTTTGTAAAATAATCTTCAGAGTCTTTGTTTTTGGGTGGAGTAACTATGTTAAGTAACGTACAGTAGACAGTCTCTTTACTGCATTATAGTATGCCCTTAATCTGTAAGTAACTATTGAAGTTGAAGTATATATAGCTGAATTAACTGAAATTGAGTCAGTCCTGTTTGAATGAAGGAGCTATACATGTGAGTCTTTCAGCTATAAATAGGATTTGTCACTGTGGATGCTACCTGCAGTGACAGTGTTTGCTAATTTTAAGCATCACTTCTGATCTGAATCTGCTATTTAAGAGTTGTTAATGATGCCAGGATATTTACAATATGTGCCAGTTTGGAAGCTATTCAAATAATGGATGTTAACTTTTTTCCTTTGCTTGAGTTGATGATGCATTTAAGAATTCACCAATTGCTCTTTCTTAATCTCCAGAATAGCAATTGCTTTCTCTCAAAAAATAATTACAGGGAAGACTGGCCTAGGACGAAAAATAAGCAGAAGCATCTAACAAATGATGAGTCTTCTCAACTTTAATTAAAAAGCAATGCAAGAAGGGAGTTGTAATTATTGCTTATTCTGCCTCCTTACCATTGCTGATGATTTACTTTTTCCACTGGACATTTTTAATTCATTGTATTTCAACACGGTTGATACCACTTAGGACATTTCTTTTTTTGCTAATAATGGTGAAAATGAAGTTGAGCCCCTTTCTTTATAGAATAAGTGTGTTGTTGAACAGGTTTCTTCATACCATGTTGGGATAATGGTGGAGGTAAATACATCTCTCAGCCATAGGTTTGCAGTATATGGCAATTTGCATTTGAAATAAAGTCAAACTCTTTTCACTCTTTCTGTGAAGGATGACAGCATGGACGAGAAACCACTGAAAGTGAGAGGGAGAGACTCTTCTGAGAGGAAGCGGAAACGAAAGCTGGAGAGAGCAGAGCAGTTCTTTGGAGATATGAAGCAAAAATCCAAAGAGCTGAAAAAACTGGAAAAACCCAAAAAGAAGAAGCTAAAACTCACCATGGATAAGACAAAGGAGCTGAACAAGCTGGCAAAGAAAATAGCTAAGGAAGAGGAGCGGAAGAAGAAGCGAGAGAAAGCAGTTGTCCCAAAGATGGAACTAGCAAAGGAGAGCACAGAAAAAAAAAGAGAGAAGAAGGTTCTAGATATTCCTTCTAAGTACGACTGGTCAGGAGCAGAAGAGTCAGATGATGAGAACGCTGTATGTGCTGCACAGAACTGCCAGAGGCCCTGCAAGGACAAAGTGAGTGCTCTGTTAGTTCTGTCATAGGCAATTCCATGTATCCTCTTCCAGCTGTACAGTTTTTTGATGGCTGTGAGCAACATGCATTGGATGATTCAGAGGATTAATTCTTTGACTCAGCTAGAAGTATTCCCAACTTCAGTGTGTTTCTGAGCACAAATGGGATGTGCAGTGTTCCTAAATGAACATTTCTATATTTCTTGCATACAGTCTGTGAACAGTGGTGCTGCAGGCTGAGGGATCTAAAAACTGCAGTGCTTTACTTTTCTTGTTGTAGATAGCGATTTTAGACCTGATTGGATTGTTACAAAATAAACTTGATCTGCCTCTCTCTCATACACTACACTGGCTTGCTCAAGAGAGAGTAGGAACAACTACAGATACCAAGAACTTGTTTTGCAAAATTGAAACATGTTCATTTCCACACTTAAAAAGACCAATTAAAGGACTAGTTTTGAAGTCTTAAACTTAGACCAAGTTAAGAGATTACACTCAATATCTCAAAAGATGATTACAGTCTTTGTACCACCATTCGCTTTACTTCACAGATGAGAAGTGGCTTATGTTAGTGCATGTTTACAAAAACTGAGGTTGCAAGAGGGAGGAGACTACCTTTAAGTTCATATTATAAAAAAGGTCGTACTAAATTAATCAAATTTAGTTTCATTTGTGGAACATTCCTGGTTGTATAAACAAAGTTTTTAATGGAATGTTGTAAGGTTGAACATATTTTTTTACTCAGCAGGTGAATGCCATATGATTTAAAAATGTCAGGTAAGGAATCTAATGACTTGCAGTTGTTAGTGTCCAGGAGTAGATTGTTCAGGGGTAGTTTCCCTACAAACTAAAGTAAAACATTGAGCTGATAATCTTTCTTCATGTTAGATAGGTTGCCACCACTATTCTTCTGGGCATCATCCTGCTCAGTAGAAGTAGTTGGTGTTTCTGTTGCTCTGGTGCAAGGATGCAAGATGGGCAAGGTTTGTTGGAAGGGTGTTTTTTGTTGTTTGTTTGTTTGTTTGTTTGTTTTTATTAAGCTGACACAGCTGGTTAAAACAAAATGTTTAGGGCATTAATTTGTGCCTGAAAGCTTTTGTATTCTAGGTATATCAGGTGGGTTTAATAGAAGGTATCTTCTTCATAAGCACTATGTCTGTCTCTCCTTGTAATGTGCAGTGTTTTGCTGATCTGATCTCTTGCAGGTGGACTGGGTGCAGTGTGATGGTGGCTGTGATGAGTGGTTTCATCAAGTTTGTGTTGGCGTATCTCCAGAAATGGCTGAGAATGAGGATTACATCTGTATAAACTGTGCAAAGAAGCCAATGCAGGGACCAAGTAGCCCTGCTCATGCACCACCTCCTTTCCTGTTGAGCTACAAACTACCAATGGAAGATCTTAAGGAGACAAGTTAGCAACTACTTGATGCCTGCAACTTGTTGGGAAATGGACCACTGAAACCCTGCAGAAAGAGAGGGTTTGAAGCTAATGTAGCCACTGAGCTTCACTTCCAAGGATGTACAGACCTGCAGCAGAGTTGGTCCCTTCCTTACATCTGGCTCCCTTCATACAGTGGGGGCGTCATGGCACAGTGGTACCGACTCATCTATGCAGACACCGCCTGATTAGGAGCTCCAGCCAGTGTTCTTTTGACTTGAGTATTTCCACCTTTAAGTGTGGCTGTTGCTCTTAGAGACTGAGCAAACCCGGGGCTGTTAGATTAGACACTTCAGGGTCTTAGAAGTACATGTTGGCAGTGGAGCTGACCTGGAATTGGTGGACATAGGCTGGAGCTTTTAGGTGTATCAGATTACCCTAAGGAGGTAACTCTGGAAGTTATCTTTTGCCTCTCCATGCCAACCCAGTGAGTAGGGCAATGTCTTGGGAGCGTTATGTTGCCTCCATATCCAGGCAGCGAACACTACACTATAAGAATGGGAGCAAGTGGATGAATTTCTTTTAATTTCTCTTTTGTAGCTAAAGGGCAGAGGAGCTTATGATCTCAGAAATCAGCAAAGGTTCTGTTTACCAAAAAAGAAACCCAACTCTATTCCACTAGGCAAAACATTTTCCTTAGTGGAGAGCAGTTGATCTTCGCGTCCTGAGGAGGGCCAGAAAGTATGGATAATGTCTAGCTAGACCAGAGCTTGGAAAAAGTAGAGTGCTTCCCTGTCCACAGGGGTGCCCTCTCCTGTGTTCTAGGCTTGGCTTAGAGTTCTGCACTCCTGCACGTTAAAGTTCTTTCAAGCAGGATGGAGCTGGCAAGGAGGTACAGCACCCAGGGCACCAGCTTCTGTGATCTGTACCCAGGGATGGGAAGGAAAGAAGACAGCCCACTTACCTCAGAGGTTACACTGATACGTGCTTCTGTGAAAAGTTACACTCGCAACTATTTCCAGTATCACCAGGCTACGGGCATGGCCTCAAGCTATACCAGCAAGCAGTCTGCAGATACTGTTCCCAGCGCAAATCCCCCTCCCTGCTGGCTTTGCTGGATGTGTACCAGTGTACAATCAGCAACCATTCTTGTCTGAAGTTGCCCCTGGCTTTGCCAGAGGACCAGAGGGCTTGGGGTCATCCCGGGTGACAGTTGTTTTAGTAAATCCATTTTTAAAGAAGGACTTGTTTTTACTTTTTTCTAAATGTCTCAGACTACTGACTTGTTCTATAAATAGATTATTTTTCTTTGATTTTTTTATACTTACCACTGTTAACCAGCAGCACAGACAGAGGTTCACAAAGCAAAAACCTGCCCGTGGGCTTGGGTTTTTTTACTCCATTCCTTCCTTGTAGTACAAGGAATTAGCAGTTACCTTCCCCATTCTAGCTTGACCAGCTGCCTGTGTTTAAATAGGTAAATACATTTCATGTGCTACCTTTGTGTTTGGGTTTGTTCCTATTAGTGGGGCATCTGGGCCTTAATGACTCCAGTGGCTGCTGGCTTTGTGTATGTGACTGTCTGAAGCCAGCCACTGGGCTGTCTTGTCCCCCTCTCCACTCGCTCCCTATTGTGTTTCCATTCTTTTGCAGTTCTAGGAGTGTTGTAATTAGTGTCCAGTCTTACTAGGAGCTGGACTGGGATTTAAAGAAATATTGACAAAAACAAGAGTGTTCTGTCTTGACTGTTCCGTGTCCCTTCTCTTGTTCTCTGATATTTGGGAGTTTATTTATCTGGCAGAATTATCCATCCAAAAAAAAAAAAAGGTCAGCTCAGGTAGATGAACTTGATCGGTTTCTTTTATTTGTGCCTGCCACCTGGGAAGAGGCAGATGTGGAAAAGGAAAAGAACGAAGGTGGAGAGCAGAAGATACAGGGTCTTGGGAGTTTTGAGTGCAGATTGGGCACAGACTTCTAATTCCTGCTCCTTAAAGACTATATGTTGTTAAAAGCAAAAGCAAGCTGTGGTTAAGTACGTGGCTGAACGGGCACCCTAGCAAACATAAGAGTATTATTTGTTTACTTATTTATGAAGGAGTCTATGCTATAGCTAGACATACCCTCTTTTTGCCTCCAGTTACATTTTTCTTTTCCTTCTAAATGTATGCTTAGTTTTGGTAAACTGATTTAAACAGATGTTACTTTCCTTCAAGCTTTAACTGATGGTACTACATAAATGTTTCCCTATATGGAGTGGGTAGACTATCTGTCACAGATGTTTAATTGTTCCAGAAGTAGACTAGTACAAGATTTCTTGAAGAATCCCAGTGTTCTGTATTCTTTCCTGACTCCTAGAATCCGTGACACAACAGGGAAAATATGGTTAGCATATCGTGTTAGCCACTGAGCATATTCTCTTAACCATTCCTACATTATGTGTCGCGATAAAGTCATTGTTATATGTAATTACCATCAACTGGAAAAGAGATCTTTTGGTAAACCTGCATTGAATGTTCCTGTTTCTCGAGTAGGTGTGGAGAGTGTTAACAGTAGCACTAGTTACAAGAAGACAGAAACAAACAGCTATATGACGCAATGGTCATTCTGCTTCTTAACAGGCATAGAAAAAAAACAACAAAGAAATGTGCAAATAGCCACATAATAGCTGTTTTTCATATTATCACATGGAGAGGCTCTTTGTTACACTGTCAAAAGGAGGTTGCCATGCTTTTTCTAGCTATGGATGTCTCATCTGTTTTTGGGTAAGGTGTTCATAAACCGAAGACCATTATTAGCTTTACATCTTATTGTTTAAGCTTATTTTTTAAGAACATAATTCCTATCAAAGGGTTGCTGATAGTATGAACTTATGAATAAATGTTAACTTTTGGAAAAACCTGTAGATATGTAGTTAGTGGTTGAAAAGCCTAAAACTACAGCTGTGGTATTGTCTGCAGAATCTAGGGGTTTGAATTTTTATTAAAACATATGCAAAGAAGCAAGCCAAAGTTAATAAGGAAATAATTTTCTTAGAGGTCTGCTACAGCTGTAGGAAGAATCTTTCATGCTTTGGGGACAAAAATCTCAGTATGCACAAAATATTAGCTTGTGTATCCAGAAAGGTATGTGTCATAATGTTACATTCTGCAAAGGATACTAAGCCACTGTTCATTTCTCTTCATGTGTCTGACACAAAAGGTCAAAGAAATAACCTGAGCTGTTGTGATGTACTAAAAATGGCCAGGACTTGAGTTGTGTATTACCCAAACCACATGGTTTCAAGCTTTTTTTAAAGAACCAGGGTGGGGAATTGGGCAGCTTTATTTTCATAGAGGTAAATGTCATTCCTGAACTTGAGGACCATTAATTGTAGTATTTGTGCTTTTGACAGATCATCTGTAGCTGACTGATCTGCTACAAGCCTCGCTGCGAAGCTTGCATTGATCTTTTCAGTTTTTTAGAATCATAGAGTAATCTAGGTTGGGGGGACTTTAGGAAGTTACCTGGGTCAGCCTCCTGACCAGAGCAGGGCTGACTTTGAAAATAGGTCAAGTTTTTCTAGGCTGTGTCCACTTAAGTTTTGAGTATTTCCAGGGATGGGCAAACAACCTCTCTGGTTTTCTGTGTTCTGGTTTTATAACATTCAATGCAAACTTCGTCTAACATACTATCGGAGATTCACTTGCTGTAGCTTACCTATTGCTTCTTGAGGAGTCTGGCTTCATACTTTCTGTAACCATCCATTAAGTAGTTGAAGACTGCAGATCCTGCAGCCTTAATTTCCAAGATGAACAAACCCAGCTCAGCCTCCCTTGAGCCATGTCATGAGCTGCAGCCTTCTAGTCTTGATGGTTCTCAGCTGGACTTGTTGCAGGTTTGTCAGTGTCTGGTTTTGTACTCATGAGCCCAGAACAGGGTATGTTACTCCAGATGCAGCTTACAGGTGATGAATACAAGGAAAATATTACTTCCTTTAACCTACTGGCAGTGCTTCTGCTGTGCAGCCTGGTAAAGGATTGGCCTTTATAAACTGCAAGGGGCATGCTGCTGACTCATATTCATTGTGTTCATTATTAGCCCCAGGTTCCTATTTCTCAGGTGCGGAACTGATGGACTTAAACTTTCCATCAGCATATCAGTCCAGCCTATCAAGGTAAAATTGATTCAGAGCCCTCTCCTTCCATGTTTTGGGTTGCCCCACTCCTGTCTTCCACCAACATTCAATTTGGTGTCATCTGCAGACTTAATTGTGCTCTATCCCGCCACCCAGGTGGGTAAGATAGAAAGCAGTAGTCTCGGTTACCGGCCCTTGAAGTACTCCACTTGCAGCTGGCCACCTCCTAGATTTCAAGTTGATGACTACTAGAGCCCGAGGACAACAGTCCACCCTATTTTTCATCTACGTTGTAGGTTATCCATCCACTTCATAAATGTGCTTTTGCTGCAAGTCAGGGTGAACATCCACTGCTTTCCCCTCATCCACAGGGATCAACACAGAAGGCAAACAGATTGGGCAAAGATGATAGTGGTGACTATTAATAAGTCCCCTTATCCCTCATGGGCCTGGATGTGGCTTTGAGAAGGATTTGTTCCATAATTTTCCAGGGACCAGGGTGAAGGTAGCTGCCCTGTAGTTCCTACATCCTCCTCATTTCCTCCACTGAATGGGTATGATGTGCTCAATTGTTCGTCACAAGCCATCAAGAAAATGATCTTCCAGACATTTTCCTGGGCTTCCTTTGTCACCATGACATGAGATTCAAAGGGAAAAACACAACCTATTTGAATTGCTATTTGGCAGATGCATGGAAAACTAAATGGCAGAACTGAGCCTCCTCAGGTGCTGCTTATACCTAAGCTCCATGTGGGCTAGTGAGCAGTTACGTCAGTCCTGTACATCTAGATATAAGTCCAAGCTGGTCTGATTGAAGTCAGTGTTACTGGTGCATGGTCCTTTTTTACATGGTTCTTCACACTGGAAGAGAGGCATAACATGAATGAGCATGAATCGGGCTTCTAGTCTTCTAGGAGAAATAGAACAGTCTACAGCCTCACCTGTTCAAAAGTAGGCTGTTTACTGGGCAGCTGTCCAATCATCGAATCACAGAATGGTTTGGGTTGGAAAGGACCTTAAGATGATCTAGTTCAAACCCCTGTGCCATGACAGGGCCTAGGCTCTGTCCAACGTGGCCTCAAACACTGCCAGGGATAGAGCATTTACCACTTCTTTGGGCAACCTGTTCCAGTGCCTCACCACCCTCACAGTAAGGAGCTTCCTTATATATAACCTGAACTTCCCTTGTTTAATTTTAAACCCATTACCCCTTGTCTTAGCACTACACTCCTTGATGAAAAAGTCCTCCCTGGCATCCTTCAGATATCAAATCTGGCCTGGCCCCTTCAGATATCAAATAGCTGTCACCTTTATTTTGTGGTGTTCTAGTAACAGTTACCAGAGTAAGCACAAGACAGATTTGTAGGAGAGTGAAGTATTCAGGTACTTGCCATCTGCTCCTTAGGCATGCCTTGCTGTCATTCTAGGTACGTGTTGTGTATACCTTTAAAAATAATGACTGAAAATATGGCTGTACATTAGTGGTACATTGAATATTATTAAACAGTGAATATAATGAAATATATCGAATAATATATTTAATAATCAATATCAATATAATAATTAATAATAATATATAAACAATCTTTATCGATATTTTATTATCGATATTAATTATTAATATCAATAACTAATTCTTAATATTAATAAATATTAATAATAAATTAAATAATTGATATTAATAAATTAAACATTAGTATTAATGAACTAAATATTCATATTGGTAGATGCTAATAATTAGCTATTAGTTATTAATATTATATTATTAATATATTATTAATGTATTATTAATCTTTATTAATTCATTAATAGTAATGATATAATTGAATATTGAATATAATTAAATAGTATTAATATAAGTAAAAATATATTAAATATAACTAAACGATTAATAATTAATTATTAATATCAATGAATGCCAATATTAATAAATTAAATAATTAGTATTAATGAGCTGAATATTGATATTAATTAAATGTTAATACATTGAATATTAATATTAATAAATAATTAATATTAATAAATTAAACGTTACTATTAACAAATTAAATACTAATATTTATGAATATTAATAATTGGTTATTAATATTATATTATTGATATATTATTGATCTTTATTGATATATTAATAATAATAATGTAATTGAATATTGAATATAATTAAATAGTGGTACATTGGAATGATTTTGTAAAGGTGGAAAAAGTTTCTCAAAATGATTCCTGAAGTCACTGTTAATGCCCATGTAAGAAGTTCAGAACTGTGGTCTGCTACAAGCAAGGCTTGAAGCTTGAGATGAAAATGAAAAGCAGGGAACTCCTTCAAATCCTTTCCAGCTGCAGTCACGAAGAATGTGTTTGGTCATCCTGCCTGAACCAAACAGGAACTCTGCTTGGAGCCCCAGGCAGCAGGGAGAGGCAATAAATCCAGCCCCTATCGAAATTCTAGTCATGCTGTCTTTGGGAGGGTGATAAATGTGTAGGACAGCTGGAAACTGCACAGCAAGACATTGAGAGCATTGAGCCTTATGTGACGAGATGGCTCAGTACAAGTGAATGTTAAGTTGGAAGGTAAAGGCAATGAAAGTAGCAAGGATTTATTGAAAACCAGAAATATTTGTCCGGAGACATGCTCTGAATGCCTTTGAAACAAAAACTCTGCTACAGTGAATAGTCTTAATCCTAGATGGGGCATTGGGTCTCAGTCGGAGGCTTTTCAGAGACCTTTTTTTGGCAGTCTCTGTATCACCCCCTTCCCTTCCTCCACCCCCCAAAGAAAAAGCTGTTTAACACCAAGTGCCAGAGGGAGCTGCTGTGGGTACTAATTTCCGAGGAGACCATGCTGGTCCTGAGACAGTTGATGTCACTAACCAGCCTGGCATCTGCTTTTAGTGGGTGGGTGATGTGCCAGCAGATCAAACTGTTGCCTCTGTTTCCAGGTTAATTCAGGCCGTGCTCAGACCTGCAGCAACTGCAGTCACCTGCCAGGCAGTGGGCACACAGTGTGCTCCCTGGAGAGATAGGATGTTTCCTATTGCTGTTCTGTGATAATAATGGTGGAGCCTACACAAACCCAAAATACGCATTTGAGATGTAGCTCAGATTTTAGTGGGATGTGAGGTGAATAGCACGTTCTGTTTATTTCTATCAGGTAATGGTTTCTCTTTTCCCTTTTCACAGCTGGCACTTTAGTTAGCCAGGTCTTGTGTGTGTCTCTGCAATGGCATTATCAGAGCTAAATACTGTAAAGATCAAAATCTAGACATTATCAGAGCATCCCATTACCTCTGTCAGCTTTCCTGATAGTCTCTTAATGCAGAAAATAGGCAGGAGATAGATGCTTGAGGTTTGCCCAGAAACATTCTTGGGAGAGACAGTTGGTGCATGCCAGTGTCTGAGAATACCTGCTGAAGAAGTGGAATCATCTAGTAGCAACCCTACCTAATGCTGATGAACCCCCAGGTGAGTGTGTGGTACTTCTGCTCTTCATCTCTTGCTACAAGCTGGCGGTCTGCTGGTGCAGCTGTAAGCCATTATCCAGGTTTGTATCTATACTGGTAAGGTTTGAAGGCAGCTGGGTGGGTTGGTTGCTCTCTAGGCATTATCTCACACCGTGGCCTTCTCTGTAGTTTGCAGCCAAGATTGTCAGCCCTGGCCGACTAACATGATTACTGTTGTATGCGAGAAGACCCACGGAGTAGTTTGTCAGACAGAATTATTTGTCCTGTGGAGCAGACAGACTTCCCTGCTAATGAACATGCGTCTGGAGTGCATGTGGGTTGTGGAAGAGG